CAGGATGTTACATCCTCATCCTTGAAAGAGTGTCCACTGGCCTGTAGGTGTAAATAAACTGCAGAGTCCTGGCCTGACGAGGCGGTAAATGGTAAATGGACTGATTCTTATACAGCGCGTTTCTACTCTCTTTCTATTCTCTTTCTACTCTCTACTCTCACGGAGTACTCAAAAAGCTGTATACAACATGCCTCATTCACCCATTCACACCCACTCATACAGGCACTTCTAAACTCAAGTGCAACTAATTAACATTCACACACATTCACACTCCGATGAACGCATCGAGGAGGGTGGGCAAATTGGGGTTAGTATCTTGCCCAAGGATATTTTGCATGCAGACTGGGGAGCCAGGAATCGAACCACCAACCATCCAATCAGCAGCTGATCTGCTCTACCACCTGAGCCACAGCCAACCCACAGCTATTCTGTTTTGCGCCATCCGCTTCGCCAGAGGTTTTTTGGTTTCCCCGATGTATAAATCCTGGCAATCCTCCTGGCACTTAACAGCGTACACTATGTTAAGGATTTCCCAGGTTGCGAAGGCGCGTTTCCAATTCACTAAACCTGGCCTCCAGAGCTGCAAATAGGCTACATTTCTCACAAATATTTGTAAAGGATGCTGAAGAGTAGCGATATATCTGACATGCTGAGCAGGAAAATGTGGGAGGGACAAGTGACTGTGGGAGGGGCTGCTAGTGACTTGGCTATGAGCTAAGGTAGCGAATACCTAAAGACAAAATGAATGAATACTAGAAATAGACTTATCAGCTGGTTCAGTGGCGTGTGCTTTGGATAAGGCACGTAGAGATGAAACTATGTGATAAGTCATTATCTGAAGGTTTTAATTAAATTGACTACAAAAAATACCACTGTGCATTTAACAGGAACTGGAAGTGATACAATAGCACCGAGAGAGCCAACAACACAAATGTGTAATAAGCTGCCATTTCAAATGTAACGGAGATACAGCTAGGTGCATGTTTGTTTATTCACAGCATGGAGAAATTATAGATGTGAAAGAAAGGAAGACAAATCAGAAATGAACGCTTGGTGGGGTTAGTGAGAGCGACAGGTTGTTCAGAGAAGAAAGGGCGAGGAAAAAGTAAGTTAACTGCTGAACGTTGATTTTTCTTTTCATTTTAACAGGGTCCATGACAGTAGGAAGCACTTAGAGATCACCTCTCTGTTTCTTTTTCACTCACTGTACACATACCTCTTCTGCTACTTTACATCTCCGCTCATCGTCACAGCTTGAAAATACATGAAAGAAATATCAAACTGTTCATAGAAAGCAATCATCCACCACAGTCACATTACCTCCATGCCTCCATGCCATGCCACAGTACAGTCAAAGGTAGTAAGAATGTTATAACATGAGATGGCTAAGGAATCCAACAAATGTATTTTTTTTTGCGTATTTGAACTTAAGGTTCCTTAAAACAGGTTAGTTTGAGCAATGTTATGATGTTTGGCTGCTTAGTTATCTGGAATTTTACTTTGAGTTTTATTCCTTTTAACATATTTTTAAACAGCACAAAAACAGTTCAGTTGATTCACTTCTGAACTG